AAGTTGGCTGAATTTAAAGCCAAATATCTGGAAAAGACTTCCAAACAAGTTTCATACAAAAGCTCACATTTTAAAATTAGTGGGACTCATAAAACATCACAACAAACAACAACAATTTTTCTGCCTCAGTAACACTAAACAGAATGAGTTCTAAGAAAATGCTGAAGACGAAATTAAGATTAATAAATTCCATAGGGGTAATAAGCAAATGAAAATAAACGGAAAAAGAAAACTTCCGAACAAGAGATGATTTGTGATGAGATCTGTCACTAACTGCTCCACGTATGCTTTCGTCGGAACAACATTATATAGAAAATAGTAACAGAATAAATGCAGAGCAATTGGATGTAATAAGAAACCAAAGACAGCTTTCGATCGATTTATTAGCCTGCAACCAAAAAACTTTGACTAATTTGCATAGCAATAAAAAATAACTTTAACTGGTTTATTGCTTCTGCATTGTGCACCTTTTTTCACTATACGTACATATATATGTATATATTATACATGTATATTATACATACATATACGTATATGTACTTATATTTGTACATATAGGCCATTTGCCAGCAATAAAGCTCAGGAATTCAATTTTTACAGCTCTAGGTATACTTTGAATTTTTCTGAAGCCTTTTGAAAAGGCACTTACCGATTACTGATGCCTACCGCTGTGAAGAGAATTATCAGCGGGACGGCAATCAGAGAAATGAACAACGCCAACGAAAAATTCAGCAACGATAAAGAACCGAAGATAAGACAGTAATCCAAATAAAATAAAAATCTTAATGAAACAACTTCCTCCTCACTTCTGAAACGAGAAAAAGACATGCGGAGGAGAAACAGAAAAAATATTTGCGCTTCGCAACGCACTGCCTAGCTGAAGCCAACTCGAGTAAATACTGGTTTTGTAAAAACCAAAAAAAAAAAAACGTACGGAGCGAAAAGAGAATAATACGGGACGAACGCCAGAAATGATGCAAGAAATGTGTAGTTATGATAAAGCTGAGACGTAGCAACACTTCTGATAACACAGTACTCGACAATTCCGATCACGTGAAGCAACAAAAATGAGTTTGAAAATTTGAACTCGCTCATGCTAAACCAATCACGAAGTGCCTAAAAAACAAATTTCGGCCACTTTTTTTTATGTTCGGAAAGGCCAATAATGTGTTTTAAATTGTGGACATACCAATACAAATAGCGGAAACAAGACGAAACCGAGAGCTGGCATGTAATATGCTACCGATAAAAAACGTCGCGTGCCTGTCATTATGTAAAGAAAGTACGACTGATGAAACCTCTCCAGTATGTTGTTTAGTGATCTAAAAATGAACTTATAAGACATCAGCATTTGCCATTTTCATAGGAATCATGTTTCATGGCAAGAAATAAAGTAACATGCAAGTGGGGAAGCAGGCAAGTGTGTCGAATACATAGTTTTTGGAAGTGCTTTTAAGTTTAGAACTTTCCCACGTTTTGAAGGGATCGGTGATTTTTATGCGTTTTTTGCTCTGTAACAGCTGCACAAAACGTACATTGCCATGTCCTTTTCAGTGTGTGTGCCCGAGCGTATTTGGTCCCACTTTCAACTCAGGAACCAGTAAAGCTAGGAAGTTGAAATTTTAGCGACTCCATAAATCAAAATTCAACTCTCCTGTACACCTGGGTCTTGTATGCGACCATATGGAAGTTTTGGCGATAAAATTAGTATTTCAAAAGTCGTAAAAGTTAAAAAGTTGAAATTCTGGAAGTGTCTTTTGCCCATGTGTAACCCCGCAAATTCAAATTCAGCTTTCATGTATGCTTGAATCTCGGGTACGCGCAATTGAAAACTTCACTAACTCGAAAACCAAAAAGGTTAGAAAACTTATGCGGATGTTATATATCCACATTTAATCCAAATACTTAAATCCAGCTCTCATGTACGTCTAGGCCTCACTCACGGCCACACAAAATTCTCGGTAAAATCTTTGTTAACTCATGAACCAAAAAAGCTAAGAGGTTGAGATTTCAGAAGGACGTTTTCTGTCTGTACAGGACCTCCCGCACTCAAATTTAGCTCAAAATTATACCCAGATCTCACGTATGGCTATATGACAGTTTTGGCGCAGAAATAAAGTAACTCGAAGCCAGAACACTAGAACGATGAAATTTTGGAGGATGTTCTCCGTTCATGTGCAATCCAAAAATTTCAAAAGCAGCTTTCATATACGTTTGCGTCTCAAGTATGCGAGACTTTTAGCGGGAAATTTCGCAGCTCAGGAATTAGACAACATATCGACCATTTTTGCACATACCAAACCAAAACAATGAAAATTTTTAACAGGTAAACGTCTGCTGTCCTTTATATATCTATATATCGAAAACGGTCATTTTTTACAGATTCTAAAAAATTTCTGAGCGCACATAAGTACGCATCTAAGAAAGTCCGTAAAAAAAACATGCAGTTTCGATTCCTAGAAAACTTTTAATTATAAAATGTGGATATCCCACATTCCTAAAGTCACCGGAAGGCATTCAACGTGAACGCAGCTCTGCCATGTCCTTCAATTCAGGGATGCATATTTTTCAGTTCGTACCTGTCGTCTGTTCGATGCATGTCACTTCTTTGGAAGTCGAATTAAAAAAAAAAAAAAACCTTAAGGCGCCTTCGCAAATTCGTGCTAGATCTGTTAACGTTACATAGCCTTCGAAAACGTTCTGCGCATGTATTGTCACTGCTTGTATACCATAGGATCCGAAAACGCTATGTAATCCTTCTTTTTCGTTAAATGCCTAAAAGACACACAAATGCAGTCTCTTGCGAAAGTATACAAATTTTCGAAGCTGATACAAGTAAAGAAGCCAACGGTGCTTATGTATGAATGAGCAATTAATAAAACTCAGCTCGGCCGCCGCTGAAAAACGTTTTACCTTCTCCAATAATGCTATTTAGCGGCGTTGGTTGCCAGCATTGCCTGGTGTTTGCCAACAATAGCGCTATCCAGTGCCCAGTGGATCGGGGATGATGAGTAAGCGGACTGGTGGGGGAAGGTGATTGGTGGATGCCTAGATGCAATTCTGAAGACAGGAATTGGACAGAGGATAGAGAAGGGGAGAAAAGGTGCCAGTAAGGAGTTCGAAGCGAGAGCTGGAGACCGTAGTAAAGAGGAAGAGGCAACACAGCACAAAAAAGAAAAGTAAACTAAAGCAAACCTAAATTCATAGAAAAAAAATGAAAAAAAGCGAATCAAAGAATCGGAACCTACAAATAAAAGCAAAAGTAACTAAAAAATGAGCTCATGCGAGTGGAAACTGTCTTACAAAAACCCATCTTCAGTAGCGGGCTTCCTTATTCATGAAGCTGTTGCATACGTAAAAACGAGAGTTCTGCTAAGAGAGCGAAAGCTAATAGCTCTCAGCTTTACCTAAGCATCGGCTTCATACATAGAGAAGTCCACAACTGAAGACAAGTTTTTGCAGTTTTATCTTATTTGCTCTCAGCTTCACCTAAGCATTAGTTTCAGAAATGGGGAGGTCCCCTACTCACCGCGAGTTTTTATAGGACAATTTCAATTCGTATAGGCTCAATTTTTTTGCTTTTATTCATAGCTTCAGATTTTTTTACTTTGCTTTTCTTGTTTTTATCTGTAGATTCAGGTTTGCTTTAATTTACTTTTGTTTGTAGCGTAATGTTGTCTTTCCCTCTTTACTGCTCTCTCCAGTTCTTGCCTCGAGCCCCTGACTTGTATCCTCGTTCCCCGTCGCTACCCTTTCCCCAAATCCTGCTCGCAAAGCAACATTTGAGCTCCTCTCTATCCTCATTATAACAGCACCTTGAAAGCAAACAATATTTCAGCCCTTTCCCAACCCGGGTATCCGCCGCAAAAAACCAGGAGCACTCTTCCTTCTCACTTTCACCCATTACCATCCCCTCCCCTCCCTCTTTCTACGTGACCTAGTCAACCGACAAGGAATCCATGCCATATAGCCATTAGGTCCACCAGTTCCAGCCCCTCTCTCCTGCCCCAAAAGAAACCCGCAGCACACCACCTCCCTCCGACTCCTACGTCCAAAATCCAGCCATTCGCCAGGGAATATCAGTACTAGTCATTGCCAGAAAAAATTTTTTCATAAATCGTGTACGACACCGGCTCAGCTGAGTTTTAGTAGCTGCCCACCAGTGGCAGTGTGAGTCGCTGTGAATGCGTAAAAATTGTCAAAAACAAAAAAATGCGAAGAAAACGGCAATGCCGCCCTATATAAATGAGAGTATATAAAGAATGCCTGTATTTCAACTGCATAGCGAAAATTTAAAATATCTTTAATTCAAAATTTTTATAATTTACTGCTAAATTCATTTTTCATGCGAAACTCATTTTTTGAGTGGAATTCTTATTACCGATCAAAAAATATTACTGCACAAATGAGACACCTGGCTGAGTACTGCACTGCTTGTCAATTCAGCAAGATCCCACCAAGATCCTTGATGCGCGGATTCGAAAACTTCCGGAACGAGGCCAAATTTGTCAGCCAACTTGATCATCAAATTGAGCAAATCCAAATTTGGCAATAAGCCATTCATCATATTGTGCTCAACATTCAGCGTATCAAACACTGTCCCAGTTGTTTTGAGTGCAAATCCGCCAACCACAGCTCCGCTATGGAACTGCAGCTTTTCCACATGCAAAAATGGATGGTGATGCCCGTGGTACTCGGCCAAAAATGCAGTCATACCGACTAATCCTTTGTCCACGAAAACGAAATGAATATCTCGCGCCCAATATACCTGTTCTGAAAAATCCCACTTCTATTTTATCCAGTCAATTATGCCAGAGAATTTAATTATTGAAAGAAGGCAGTGAAAAGGCGAAACGCGGGGGAAGACGGGATCTATTTTCCCCACACGACTGTTTTTTTTTTTTGCAAAAGTGGCAAGATTATTATTAAATCACACTTGACAATAAACTGATACGCAATTTTAAAAATTTGAAAATCGCTGGAAATTTCTGGAACCCCAGCTCATTCCGCTTCCACAATTCCGGTCATCTTAGCTCTAAAACTCCAGCTACGTCTTTTCTTCAGGGTCTCAGCCTCATTTCCTTCCCGTTTTCATACTCGAAGTGTCCCTGACTTAGGAATTGATCTATTTATGAATTAAAAGAGGAAGACTACATGCATCTGAGGGTGAGATTTCGCAGCTGCAAAATGTTTAGGTACGGCAGAAGCAATACCTCGACAATAGGTTGCTAGAGCCATCGTTACAGCCAATGCCTCCAGGTCATTCATATTTACTGCCACAAGAATTGCTTCAACCGATGATGAACGGCTAGCACGAACAACGGCCAAAACGTTTGTCCCAGAATTATTCTGAAATATAAGTTCAGTAAGGACTAAATTTTGAAATATTGGGAAAGAACGTGAAGGAAAATGAAAATACGTGAAGAATGGTTTTCCCGGAATTGCTGAGATCACCTGTTATGAGAATATGAAATATAACCACACGAGACTTACA